TTCCAAATTTAGCAGTAATTAGGAATAAGAGTTGACCCAGATTACCTAAGCATATTAAATTCCAAAATCCATTGAAAATGTGTTTCTGGATTGTGGAAATAAAGTTATTGTCGTCCCAAAATAGAACTGTCTGTAAAATAAATATTTTTTTTTGATTACAGATTAATAGAAAATTGTTTTTTTTTTAGAAAAATAATATATTGTTTTATTAGGAGTAAAAATGACATGAATTCTGTGGCCAGGCTATACGTTTGACATACAGCTGAAGCACAAAAAGTCATTTTTACTCTAAATGGAGCACGTTATTTTTTTTCAAATGGCACAAATAATTTTTAAAACAATTTCAAACGTTCTAAATAATATAAAAAGATTTAAAAGTATGTAATATCTTGTATGTATATATATATATATATATATATATATATATATATATATATATATATATATATATATATATATATATATATATATATATATATATATGCTTTACTATTATTTAAGCGTTAAATGACTTTTTTATATTGTCAATCACGTCGCAAAAACTAATACTTTTGTCACGTTTGAAAAAAATAAGAAAATTTATTTTTTTTAGAAAAATTTCTGTATATTTTTCTTTATCTCCCCAGCCGACAAAAATATCCTTTTCATTTCGCTATATAAATCCAAAGTTATAAATATATACACTCTCTGAAAGTTTCACTCGTTTGACTCGAGCTTTTGTTATATAAAATCAAATTTTTCGCTTCATTTGTAAGAAAATTGCTCTATATACGGCGGAAGGCTATATTAGAAAAATGAGTCTAATATAGACAGAGCTATGAGAAGTTTGCCGCGAAAAATAGAGAAAGGCCAGTTTTATTGGCAAAGTTTCATGATGCGCCTTGCCCTTTTTAGATTAAGGTTTGGCAGGCATATAGTTTCTTTATCCGTCTCAAATAAATTACTTTTTGTACCCTTTTCCTTAAATATGGTTTCATTGAAAACATGCAACTAAAGATCAGTCCACACGTAATGCTTTATCGGTCAGGTAAATCGGAAGACGAAAAAATCATTTTATTTATTTATTTCACCCCTTCTTGGGGGTGAATTTAAAAAATTCTTTCAAAGTAACTTACATATATCAAAAATTCAAGTTACTTACCCAAAACGCCCGTTTTTTTTTCGCCTACACACAAGCTTTTACTTGATACGTCTTGACTGACAAGAAAAACGATATGTGTAGACCTATCCTAACAAAACACTGACTTTTATCGTCCCTAATTCTGATTAAATTTAACGACGTCAATGGATAATATCGAAAAGCCATCCAAAAAAAGAAAAAAACGATTTTATAGAAAAAGGAAAACATAAAAAGCAATAAATAAACATAGAAGGGCCGACAAAAAAAGGAACTTACTAAAGAGCGGTCAAATTTACCGACATATCCCGTCTCACCCTTCCACCGAGCTAAATGGGGGTTGAGGGACAATTTCCGGTCTTATAAATAAAACATGGCGGTTTCCTCACGTCCGGCACCGTCAGCATTTCTTCTCCGTATCCAATATCGACGGCAGTTAACAAATTTTTGTTCCAATCGTTGAAAAGGAGCATTTATTTTGAGAAATCTGGAGCCAAATCAGATATAGATGTACGTGTTAGTTTTCTTAATTTCTTTTAACACTGAAACAGTTTGTTTTGGTCCAACATATACCTTAGCAAGCAAAATCTAAACCAATTGTTTGTTTATTTAAAGCTTCCTTTCAGCACACATCTATACTAATATATAAAATCCTTGTGACTGACATACTGATTAATCACGATCCTGCTCAAACCACTCAACGCGTAAGGAGCTCAATTTTGGCATACAGGTTGATTCTAGGGTATAGAGGTTCGATAAGAAGGGATTTTTCGAAATTCCAGTTCCAAGAGGGTGAAACCACCCCTCAAATATTACAATATTTTTTTATTTAAAAAACGGTCAAGTTTCCGAAAAAAGGTAATTTTGTTTTTTTACATATTTTAAGATTTTTTAAAAATGTAATCATGGTGTTTCGAAAAATCTGGTCATTGATTAATCACGATCCTGCTTAAAGCGCTTGACGTAAAAAGCTGATTTTTGGAAAACAGATTGACTTTAGGGTGTAGAGGTTCGATAAGAAGGGATTTTTCGAAACTCGAATTCTAAGGGGGTGAAACTATCTCTCAAATATTAAAATATTTTTTATTTAAAACCCCGTGAGTTTTTCGGAAAAACTCTTAAACACGTATATTTTATTTTGTTGTTTTACATATTTTAAGATTTTTTATAAATTTATACAGGGTGTTTCATAAAATGTGACCATTGAGTATCTAATCACGATTCTGCTTAAACTGCTTGACGTTTAAAGCTGATTTTTGGCAAACGGATTGACTGTGGGGTGTAGAAGTTCGATAAGGAGGGGTTTCTCGAATCTCAAATTCCAAAAGGGTGAAAACACCCCTCAAATATTACAATATTTGTTATTTAAAAAACGGTTAGTCTTTCGCGAAAACGCTTGGACAAGCATAATTTATTTGTTTTTTTTACATATTTTGAAATTTTTTAAAAAATCATACAGGGTGTTCCAAAAAGTTGGGTAATTTCTTAACCACGATTCTGCTTAAACTGCTTGGCGTAAAAAGCTTATTTTTGGCAAACCGATTTTTCGAAAGTCAAATTCCAACGAGATGAAACTACCCCTCAAATATTACCAAGTTATATAATCATATCGCCATATTGTATATTGTTTTTTCTCATGCGGACATAAATGTGAGAAAATTTTATCCGGTTTGTATGTTAATGGAAATTCTTGCTTTGCTTTATCATCACCATTACAAATGATTAATTTGACGCGAACGAAGTCGCTGGTACACGCTAGTTTAATATAAATAGAATTTTATATTTTTTGTATGATTTGACAACGTCGCAAGCTTAAACTGCAAAAATCTTTAAAAACAAATAAAAAATCTTCGAGTAAATAAGTTCTCAAAAACATCTGACCCCGAAATCGAATTTTTCCACCGCAACTAATAAGAAATTGCGGTTTAACTATTTACCAAATACTCGACCAACCCGAAACCTATCGACGAAATGTACGGTCAAACTTCCACGCGGTTTTCCTCCAGGGCCGGAGTCACCGCGTCTCCCCTAGGGGCCAGCGCGCCGTGTTTGCCCCTGATCAACAGTCGCGACCCGCCTTTATCAGGTCCGTGATTTATCGGGCTCGGACTCACGTCGACGCGACTCTTGTCAAATATTTACCGTGTTAGAACGAGAGGGCAGATGTTTGTTTAGCCGGAGGACTCGGCCGGATATATTTCTAAAGCCCTGTTCGCATCACAGTTGGCTACAAGTCGTATTTGCATAAGGTTAATTCGGTGCGAGGTGAGAAGTGAATTGAGAGGTGGCATGTTTACCAGAGTCCGAAAAAGTAGTAAAATAAGCGTTCGGCATTTAACGTTTTAAGTAAAACTGGCTAGGTATTTTTACAGAAATGAAGAAGGAAACTAAAGATAAAGGATAATACGAAACTAGCGTGTACCAGCGACTTCGTTCGCGTCAAATTAATCATTTGTAATGGTGATGATAAAGCAAAGCAAGAATTTCCATTAATATACAAACTGGATAAAATTTTCTCACATTTATGTCAGCATGAGAAAAAACAATATACAATATGGCGATATGATTATATAACTTGGTAATATTTGAGGGGTAGTTTCATCTCGTTGGAATTTGACTTTCGAAAAATCCGTTTGCCAAAAATAAGCTTTTTACGCCAAGCAGTTTAAGCAGAATCGTGGTTAATCAATTATCCAACTTTTCGAAACACTCTGTATGATTTTTTAAAAAATTTCAAAATATGTAAAAAAACCAAATAAATTATGCTTGTCCAAGCGTTTTCCCGAAAGACTAACCGTTTTATAAATAACAAATATTGTAATATTTGAGGGGCGTTTTCACCCTCTTGGAATTTGAGATTCGAGAAACCCCTCCTTATCGAACCTCTACACCCCACAGTCAATCCGTTTACCAAAAATCAGCTTTAAACGTCAAGCAGTTTAAGCAGAATCGTGATTTGGTTTGGTTTGGTCATATTTTATGAAACACCCTGTATAAATTTTTAAAAAATCTTAAAATATGTAAAACAACAAAATAAAATATACGTGTTTAAGAGTTTTTTCGAAAAACTCACCGGTTTTAAAAATAAAAATATTTTAATATTTGAGAGATAGTTTCACCCCCTTAGAATTCGAGTTTCGAAAAATCCCTTCTTATGGAACGTCTACACCCTAAAGTCAATCTGTTTTCCAAAAATCAGCTTTTTACGTCAAGAGCATGGATCGTGATTAATCAATGACCAGATTTTTCGAAACACCCTGTATACATTTTTAAAAAATCTTAAAATATGTAAAAAAACAAAATAAAATATACGTGTTTAAGCGTTTTTTCGGAAACTTGACCGTTTTTTAAATAAAAAATATTGTAATATTTGAGGGGTGGTTTCACCCTCTTGGAACTGGAATTTCGAAAAATCCCTTCTTTTCGAACCTCTACACCCTAGAATCAACCTGTATGCCAAAATTGAGCACCTTACGTTGAGTGGTTTGAGCAGGATCGTGATTAATCAGTATGTCAATCACATAAGGATATTAGTATATATTACGATATCCGTATTGTAGCACATTTTTAGATAACTTATAACTATTTTTAAAATTTTGATGGTCAAACATAGGGTTGGCAAAATCTGGTATTTAACTTTTACTAGTTTTATACCAAGTTTTATACCTTATTATACCAAAAGGTATAATACTTTCGATTTAAAAATGGTAAAGGCTTTTTGTTATAAAATAAACCTGTTATAACCACAAACTTAGCATTTATTCAATAAAACAAAATAAAAACAATTATTAATCTTAAAAAAAATAAAGTAAAAACAAAACCAATAAACAAACAAAGCAAATCAAACTGGCTTTTTTGACTTTTGAATAAAAAAGTTTTGTACTAATTTCTGCGAGGGGCACATCGTCTTCATCTTCAATCTCCGATTGTATCTCCGTTTCCAAGTCACTCAGTTCAACTCCCTTGACACTGTTCGTCTCTGGAAAGCTACAGCCTGAGAGTGTATCCAATTCCCTTTCCTCCTCCTCTAACGTGGCATTATCCAACTCCCCTCCATCTAAAATTAAAAATTAAGAAGAAAAAACATTAGAAATTGTCAATATATACCTACCCTTTTGGATTTGTGAAGATGTCAAATTATTGCCCTCTTCATCTAGCTCCAGAAATCTTAAATTGTATTCTACGGCAAGCAGCTTCTCAACAGTTTCGTTAGAAAGTTTATTTCTATCCTTGGTATGTATGCGAGATTGACAGGAAAACTCCCGTTCAACAGATGCACTTGATGATGGAACCGTCAATATTCTAATAGCTATTGTTGCAAGGTCTGAAACCTCTGAAAAATGCTGGAACATTTTCCACCACGTGACTGGATTGGACGTGTTCTTGGCATCCCAGTATAGACAGGGTTTAAAAGGGGCTTCTTTTTGTATATGTTTAAAGTATGAAGAAAATATATTTGAACGTCGTGCTTCATTTTTCCAAAATCCATATTCTTTTATACAAATAAAATTCTAAATTCGAAACGGCCTCGGTTTTATCTGTATAGTTAAGACTGTCCACCAAATCTGGGATCTAAAATATTGGTCAAATTGTGCGTGGATGTAACCACAAAATCTTCCCTTTGACGAATCAGGTGATTTATTTTTTTTTTGCATCTTGCTGGCTAAAGTGGCGGTCAGACAGTGTTTTGATATTTAATAGTTTAATACAATTTGGTATAATACCTGGATAAGTTAAATATAAAGTATAATACCAAGTATAATACTAATTATACCATTTGGTATAAAACCTTTGCCAACCCTAGTCAAACATCGACAAAATATTCCTGATGTTTGGACTAAATTTTCTCGAAAATAAAGACATAATTTAAAATTACGTTACAATACGGAAATAGATTGAAGTTTTGTGATTACAGTAATATATAATTTATATGGTTTTGTAACAAATTGCTCGCTATAGTATGGCAAACGCTGAAGCTCTGCAAATCTTAATCAAGCCTTAATCAAGCACGTGTGTTTGGAATTTTGGGCGTGGCTTAACACGACAGGATCGGGCTAAGCCTTAGGCAGAGTTCTGAAATTTAATATACAGGGTGGTCCGAACTGTAATCCGGAAACTTCGGCAGCATATTTTACTGATAAAAATAAGTAAAAAAGTTTATATAAATGTATGTCCTAAAATGCTTAGTTTCAGAGATACAGGGTGTAAAAGTTTCATTTCTATTTCAATTTTTTCCAAATAATTTCTGAAGTAACGTCAATATTTGGATAAAAATTGGTGTCTGGGAGTTTTTTTATTTTGATGTCAATATGACTCCTACTTGTAGAGGGCGCCACCTACATATTTTTAACTGTTTTGAAGCTTAATCACTTTTTGTCTGTACCTATATAAAACTACCGAGCGAAAAACAGAAATAATAAATTTGGGAAACTTTAAATTTTTTAAATTAATCATAATTTTTTCTGCAAAAAATGATGATAAAACAGTTTCTGTTGAACTTTTGGCACAAAAACATTTCAAATTTATGATTTTAGTCTAATAACTATTTAGTCAACAGCGATTTTTACTAAGAGACCTTTTTTACGTAAAAAACGTCGTAAATGTATATTTTAAACTCACTAACTTTATACAGGTACGGACGAAAAGTTATTACTCTTCGAACCAGTTAAAAAATATGTAGGTGACGCCCTCTAGTAGTACGAGTCATATTGACATCAAAATCAACCTAACCCACCGAAGTTAGATGCACTATTTTTTTGACACTCTGTATAAAGAAATCCAATGTCAAAATTATTAATAACCCATTATAATAACGCGAAAATAGGCATTTTAAGGCGTGTAAAAATGAGGCGCGACATTACTGAAGCCGATTAGATTAATTTTTCGAAAAAAAAGCCTCTTTGTAGCGCGAGATCAAAGTAAAAATGTGTCGAAAAGCAATTTCGATTCGCGATTGATACGTCAATCGATCCGGCGTAAATACAAGAAGCGATATGCACGCGTTCGGGCGACTTGGGCTCTCTTTTGTTTCTTTTTGTCGACAACATCAAACACCGCGTTAATTAACTTTGAATGGGCACCAGGTGGCGCGAAAACTACGGCTTTATACAGTAGCATAAAAAAGTTAATTAAAAGCGAACTATACGCTTCTTTCTAAAGCGCCGCAGTCGCCGTTGCTGAATTGATGTTTTTGACGGTTCATCATAATAATAAATTCATATTTCAGGCTTGTGTTAATAGGGAATTGATCGAGAAATATCTGAATTTAATCACAGGTGACGTTAAAAATGTTTATACAAGATTGTGAGTTTGAGTCTCCTGCCCCTCAGTAGAGAATCTTAAGGTACGTTTACATCTGATACTTATTGCCTGATATTTATGTCAGATAGACATTTTTGCTAATGTAAACACCCAAAAATTTATATCTGATATATATGTATTTGTCATCAGCGATTTATATCGACATTTATGTAGACGTAAGACGTAAGTGTAAACAGTTGGATGAGGAAAGTTCTGACTTGTCTGAAATAAATTGCATTAGTTAAATAGCCGTCTACTTTTTGAGAGAGTGTCGGGAAATAATTTCGTAGTTAAAACAATGGGTGTTAACAAGGAATGGGTGAAAAGTGAAGTTATGGACTTGACTGATATGTACCACAATAAACCCGAGCTTTGGGATGTGAAAAGTAAAATTTACAGAGATAGGTTTACAGAGATAGGATTTACAGAGATAGGATTTACAGAGATTTACGATGCTAAAAACCTCAATGTTACAGCAAGTCACTCTTGAACAGTGATGGCTCTTCTAAATTTGGTATTTTGTTTGTACATAAGGAGCTCTATTTTACTGGCCAAGTTTTGAAAGTCGCAGGGTTTCATTCGTAAAAAAATTGAGAATTGTGCTGGATCTTCAGCACTAAGTTCACGCATTAATTGTGTATAAGCACCTTGTTCCTCACGTCGCAAAATCCAGTCTCGAACCCACACAGAACGTTTTTTCTTATTACGCTTCAGAGTAAAGTAATAATTGCTGCAGCTTTTCATTTCGATAACTTCATCTCTGTTCATATAGCTATTGGATACTGGCTTTGAGACATATTTCGCGAAAATGAAATGTAAACAGTCTGTGAGATATGTCAGACACTAGACACTTATGTCCTGATTTTGGCTTTAGACATATCTCGCGTAAATAAATTACAAGTAATTTCTATACAGTGTAAACAGTCTGTGAGACATTATGTCAGACAATAGACACTTATATCCTGATAAAAATATCAGATGTAAACGTACCTTTAACTAATAATGATTTTTCTATGGTGTTTTATCGTTGAAAGAGACATATGTAACCTTATACAGGGTGGTCCGAACTGTATTCCGGAAACTTCGGCTACATATTCTGCAGATAAAAATGAGTAAAAAAGTTCGTATAAATGTATGTCCTAAAATGCTTAGTTTCGGAGATACAGGGTGTAGAAGTTTCATTTTTATTTCGATTTTTTCCAAATAATTTCTGAAGTAACGTCAATATTTGGATGAAAATTGGTGTCTGGAAGTTTTTTGACATGAGAAATTTGATTTTTATGTCAATATGATTCTTATATGTAGGGGGCGCCACCTACATGTGTTTTAACTGTATTGAAGAGTAATAATTTTTCATCCTTACCTGTATAAAATTACTGAGTGAATAAATATACATTTCCGTGTCTTTTAAATGCTACGAGCAACTGTTCTCAAGATATTTAGAATAGAATTAACCAATACATGTCATTATTGACAAAAAATAAACATGTTGAGTAGAAAGTTATTCGACTGAATTGATAAATTTGGGAACCTTTTATTTTTTTAAATTAATCATAAATTTTTCTTCGAAAAAATAACAATAAAACAGTTTCTGTTGAAGTTTTAGAACAAAAACATTTCAACATAATATTTAATTTTCGTCAATAATGATAAGTATTGATAATTTCGGTTCCAAATATCTCGAGAACCATTACTTGCAGCGATTTTTACCAAGAGACCTTTTTTACCTAAAAAACGTCGTAAATGTATATTTTTTTACTCAATAGTTTTATACAGGTACGGACGAAAAGTTATTACTATTCAAACCAGTTAAAAAATATGTAGGTGGCGCCCTCTACAAGTAGGAGTCATATTGGCATCAAAATTAAATTTCTCATGTCAAAAAACTCCCAGACACCAATTTTCATCCAAATATTGACGTTACTTTCGAAATTATTTGGAAAAAATCGAAATAAAAAGGAACTTTTTTTATCTGCAGAATATGCTGCCGAAGTTTCTGGAATACATTTTGTACCACCCTGTATAATATACCTGAAATACTTTAAATACAAAAAGTAGTTTTTTAATTCTCCATTTAATAAAAAAAAATAATGTACAGGGTGTTCCATTAAAAAAAACGAAGAAAAATTATTGTGTATTTTAGAAAGTTTGGCGTGGAATTTTGAACACCCTGTATGATTTAAGATTACGATATTTAAAATAAAGTAAGTAAATACCAATTATTATAGTAAGTATCTAACATAGTTTTGATTCCACGACAACTTATATTTTTAATATTTTTTTTTAAAAAAAGGCTGAAAGATATTTTTTTTTCTTTATTTATTTCTATCTCTGAAATTATAAAATCAAATTTAATATCTTAGGGTTACGTAAAGTGATCTGAAAGGAAGCCAAAAATGCAATAATATACAGGGTGTTCCATTAAAAAAAAAATATCCAGGTCCACACACACTTTTTTGAGCCACCCTACAGAAGTTAAAATATTTTCCAGAAATACATCCTAGTACATACTTTAGATTTACACTTAAACAAATGATGGCATAATGTATGACATCACACTGTATGTCTCCATAAAAACTAAACTTTCTGAAACCTTTTAATAACAAACAAAATAGGTATTTTTTTTATACAAAACGAATTCACTAGCGATGAAATCTACGGGAGACGATAATGCAATTTTATCGTCATGTATAAAACAATATTTTTTTTTATAGCCAGTTACGTTTTAAAAAATATTCAGAAATTATTATTTCAAGGAATTTATTACGAGTAGAAAAAATATTGTGCTGGGTTGGCTTTGGTTTCTATGTCATTTGACAAATAAGTAAAGCTGTCTCTTTAGTTGACAGTTTTGAGTCAATACTTTTTAATTCTCTTTCGTGTCGACTGCTCATTGAATTCGAGCCGGAAATGGCTCGAAATAAGTAAATTACCAACAGATATTCAGGCTGAGGCGACAAACGCCATATCCAAACTATTTCCATATAAATCCCGAATAACTTATGAAAAGGAATACAAAAATTTTCAAAAATGGAAACAATTAAAAAACGTG